GTCAAAACATATTTAGACTAAACAATTATATTCAAGAATAATACAATATGCATATGCTAAAACAGGCTTGATGTGTATGTTGTAATGGAGCAAGCGTGTTATGTTATGCTATCTTGTGAAGCGTTAGGCGTTAGGATTCATGTGTTCTTGAAACCAAATAATTGTCTTTATCTTAAGAAAAAACTGCGGCGCTATAAGAAATTTTCTGCTATGACTGTACTTGTTACGATGCTTCAAATCGGGTCTGGCTTGTTTTTTGTGCGTACCCTTGTTTGGCAAACTAGTGTTAAGTGATATTGTTCACTTTTTAACGTTAAAGTGGTTAATGAACTCTTTCACCATCTATTATTGTAATAATGCATAAACAGTGTTGGGGAGCAACTAGTTACATGTAGCTAAATTACATAATTTAATTACAAATCAAATGTAATTGTAATCAGTTACAGTTACTGAGAAAAACGTGCAATTAAATTACAGTTACTTATGAAAATGTTAATGATTACAAAGGGTTTGCATCTGAATATTTTTCACACACACACACACACACACACACACACACACATTTAATTGATATCTTTCATAAATTGCATTAACAGCTCTAAAATATGAGATGCCAATGTTTCAGGAGTTTAGGACACATGCTTATTCGAAAGCTTGTTTTATTTCCTATTTGGCTGATGTATATTTATTTTTTACGTTTAACAGTTTTTTTCCAATCCGTTGTTAGATGCCAGTGTTTCCTGTCATAACTATGCAAAGACTTGATTTGAAAACAGTATCATAGCTATTAAACTATCTTGTTATGGTTTTAAATGCGTATTTAATCTCAGAACAATCTGAAAGCAATTCTGATTTTATGGTGTTGTGCTTTAAATTAAATTATTATAATCCTAAATCAAGTGATGAAGGATTTTGAAAGTCTGACAGTAATTAGTTGTTGAGTCCTACTGTAATGTTAACCCTGGTTGGTTTACATGTTTCAAAAGATTAATGCACTTTTATGCAGTGTTTTGCTCAGAAAGTCTTTTACACTCCCAAGATGCAAACATAAACCGCAAATATGAGGCGTTGTGCTGGTCTTCTTCCACTAAGAGCCCAGGGGGCGCTCTGTTCTGTTTGAATGGAATTCAGTGGACAGTAACACTGAATTAAACTTCACATTTTGATATAGAAAGACTAAAAAAACAGTATTGTCTTTTAAAACATATGCCAATAAATATTGCAGATTTTTTTTTATTTACAACTTAAAAAATAATTTTTACAGTGAATTAAATAAACACAAAATACTGTATTTTGTAATTTGCCAATTATGCAAAATGTAAAATGACACATGAATTTGCACCAAAATATACAGTGGAGTTTGACACGACCACTAACGTTTCCTTCAGCAACCCATTTTTAGATCGTGAAGCACCAGGTATAGCGTTCCCTACTGTGCAGTGCATCTCGTTTATATCGTGTATACACTGTTTGTTACAATGAGAGGATCGCAATCAGAGGTGTTTGAGAAATCAACAGATATGTCTGTGATTGGCTACACTGTGCTCAACGCTACAAAAACACGAACTAGGAACTTTTTAAATGCTCTCCAGAGTGCAAACACAAACACGCACTGAAGAGTTGCCAAATCTGATTCGCTAATATCATATTATTACAGTTTTAACTGCGGGCTCTTTTCACTGCGTGCAAAACTGACGTGTGGCGTGAGAACAGTGTCAGCTGTGAGTTTCACTGCATGCGTAAGAGTTTGCAGCCTTTATTTGATTGGTCTGCATAATCACTGACATCTTTAGTTGATGATTCTGCATAACCGCCAGCTCCCTGAATGCAAATCTCTTTTCTGTTTCTGTGATCGGAAGTTATATGTCTCGTCGTGATTGTGAAAAGGTTCTGGAGCATTTGCTGTTTTCAGAGGAGCAATGAGCTGCCAATACAGTTTTTTATTTTTATTCCTCTGTGGCTTTGCTGCGCTCTATGGTATGATTTCATTTTGTGTAGCTATTTTAATAAACTTAAGTAAAACAGCTTATTTCCCTTAATTGTAGGTGTTTTACTGTTGGCCTAAGTATTTAGTTGATGACATAAAAAGTTACAATGTGATTAAAATATAAGAATAATACACCACATTAACTTTTGTTCTCATGCATATAGTGTTATTTATATACAGTAAATAGATGTCTAACATATTTTTACATTAAGATAAGTTTTAAGGGGCAGGTCAGGTAAAATACCTCTTTAAGGCAAAAACTGCATTACAGTCATTTTTGGACACTTTTTAAATGCAAATATTTTTTTGTGTGAAATTTCAGCCTATCATATGTTTGATAAATTGGTGAACAAAAATGTAAACGCAGTGTTGAATTGAAACATTGTACTACTGTATTTTCTGAACAGTTTTTTAACAGATGTCAGGTCAGGAAAAATATGTTGTACTGTAATTTTACACTATTTGTTTAATTCCTATTGGCCATAACAATGGTTAAGTTTGATTTATTTATTTATTTTTTCCTTTTACATGCTTCATTATAGTTTTACTGTTTAAATTCCGATACAAGGCCTGTAACAGGCCATCTGGTCCCCATCTGTGACAACTTACTCCATGCAGTGTGATGACAGGCCCTGTTGTTATAGGAGTCAGTGTGTGTTACTGTAAATGATCTGTATCAGTTTTATAGTGAATAATGGCAGAACAGAATATTTCACTGTTTAATAGTTTTGTCTAAGGTTAAAGTCTAAACAGAAATTGACTTTGAAAAAGAAACCCATTCTGAGAAATACTCATTCTTTTTACTAATTATGTTTATTCCTCATTGTAAACCACATATGAGTGCATGGACCCTGCTGAGTTAATTAAATTCTAATTTAATTTAATTTTTTATAGTTTCAGAGATATGTGGAAGAGAGATACTAGAGGGAACGTCCTGCACCATCAAGCTGAAAACAACAAACAATGACAGACCTAATGAGATCAAATGGATCCATCGCACTAGCGGTGACGTAATTCACAGGAAAAATGAGAAGATCAGGACAAACACTCTAGATGGAAATATGGAAGAAGATGGATCATTAACATTTCACAATGTTAGTCTGAATAACACCGGCAAATATAAATACATTTTTTATGCTGGTGATGGTACAGAGACCAGTGGAGAAGAGGAAATTAAAGTTTATGGTAAGAAGACAAATATTTGTACCCTTCCAACACAATGCAAAGAATAACACAATCATATTTCTACAGCAGTTACAGTAGTAGAAAATAACCACATGTTTCTTTCACAGCAAAGGCTCCTAAACCTACTCTGACAATGACCATCAACTGCAGAGATGGTGACGCTACACTCACCTGTGACATTAGAGACCGTACAGATCTGACTGTCTCCTGGTATAAAGAAGACAATATCATCCAGACTGAAAACAACCCAAAACTGCTCTTGACATCTGCTCAAATACAGGAGAATAAACCGCACTCATGCAGTGTAAGCAATCCTGTCAGCAGTGAGCAAAGTGACAGCGTTACAGTATCATGTAAGTCAATTTTTTTATTTTACATGCTTCTCATTCTTCAATGTACTAACTTTGTGTTATAATTATGCATGATGCAGCTTTTAGGATTTTCTTTTATAAATGGATGTTTTTTAATGATTGACTTGTTACTGATTTCATGACATCTGCTCTTGTCTTGCAGGTACTACAGGTGAAGGTGACCCAGGTCCTCATAGACTCTTTGGCCCTGATTTCTGGATCATGGTGAGCATTTTAGTAGGTGGAGGAGCCCTTCTGCTGCTGCTGATATGTGTTCTTATCATCTGTGCATGTCGAAGCTGTAGCCAACTCAAAAAAGCACAAACAAGGTGAGAGACGTCCTCATCGCCTCTGAAATTAAATTATGCAATGTGTGCTTGTATTTTCAACAAAAGGGAGACAAACTATGAAGCTGTCGCTGTTCTTGTTGAGCTTTAAAAGTCCACACCACAATCCTCCACAGTCATTAGCATATTACATTTATTCATTTAGCAGATGCTTTTATTCAATGTAATAGTAGGAGTATAATAATATAAAGTCATATAAATACAATTATAGATTAAGGGAATGAACCTATAAAGGAATCTTCTCAAAGACGGGTTATTTGCTTTAAGTAACCTGCAGTTAAACAGGAAATTCAAAGGCTTTTACCACAGGTTCCTGTAGTCTATTCGATTTTAGTAAACAGATCGAATCAAGCTCCACTTAACATCCTGTTCACATATGTTGAAAAATGCAAAGTCTGCAAAATTACTAAATGTAAATGTAAATGTAAATGTTGAGTGTTTTTCTGAGGCAACAGGTTTTCTAAAAACCCAGACTTTCAAAAATAAGTTTATTTGTCAAATTGATTCATGCTGATTCAGTTTCAACTTTACTGGGTTTCCCAAATGGGGGTTCATGAGTTGATGGAAAGCTAATAAATAATTTTAACTGAATGTAAATTTAAAATGGGGCAGCGCAATTGAAATAAAACTGAAATTGTGATATAATTTTTAAACATACTTTTAGATATATAGATATATAGTTTCAATATGAGATGAAATGTCACAGTCCAAATCACAATGTCAACATGAAAAAATAGCAAGATCTTTTTTTTTTTGGGCCAAGTTGCACAGACCTGTATATAAAGAATTGTAAAATGAAACAAAAATAAATGTCATGTGACCATTAGCCATCACAGAACCATGAAAATCTAAATGTGTTTTTAAATTATTAAAATATTAACCTAAATTATCTGTGGGTGAATATTTAAGATCTGAATAATTCTATTTTTTGGAACATATTGTCTTTAATATCTTCCAGATGAAGAAGAGTTCAGGCTGAGGATTATTCCAGCTCTAGTTCCTACCGAAACAGATCCAAACACTACAGGAAACTGAGGCTTTGCATGCAGTAATTACAATAATTGACCTGTTTTTGAGAAAATACCTCATAGGTTCATTCAATTATGTATAATTGTATTTGTATGACTTTTTATTTTTTATTATACTATTAACATAATTTCTCTTTGGATAAAAGCATCTGATAAATTAATAAATGTGCAGCATATTTAAGTTTTGGCGTTTTATTACTTTGATAATTGTAGAGGATTGTGGAGTGAACTTTTCAAGCTCCATAGTTTCAGTTTCCTTTTCGTTGAAAATACAATTTTAGAGGTTATGAATATTACCTGGTCTGCAATGCCAAACGTGAAGTTTGCATTTCCATTAAATTGGCAGTCGAATGCCACAGTAGATTTAGCAGCCTTTGCTGTGACAGAAACATGGTGGTTATTTTCTACTGCTGGACCTCATATAGAAATATAGTCTTATTTTATTATTCTTGACATTGTGTTGAAAGGGTGCAAATATTTGTTTTCTTACCATAATAGCGACTATGCAATGCAATTTTACTTTTGATTATTCGGTTTCTGTACCTGGACACCTACAAACTTGAAACATTGTTTAATTTGTATCTTTGTTTTTTTTATTTAGCTGTGCTATTTACACAATTTCAAAAAAGGGTACAACCTGCACTGGGCCCTGCAAACCCCAGCTATGGCCCTGTTTGTACAGGTGAAATAACTGGAAGCAAATGAGACCAGAAGAGTCACACTTTCAAATTACAAATGGCCACACCGCTCATACATTAAAAATAAAGAGGACTGGTCAGTTTTCAACTCCAGAGATCCAAGTAGGCAGTGTAGATCTAATCAGATTGCTGGATCATTCAAATAATTCTAGAAGGTATAAAAGTTTGTCACATGACATAAAAATTAGATTCTTAATAAGCAGAGATTCTTCTGAATTTGCTGGAAAGTTCATGTCAGGTTCAACCCTCCTTTCTGCCACAAGAGGGCACAAACAGACACGATCCCCCAACTCAACCTACGGACTCAAGACAATAGCGCACTGTTAAAAGTGTTGAGCAACCTCACAGATGTCTCAGTAGACTAGAGAACCAAGGAGAAGAAAGCAGTAAGATGATGTTCTTCAAACAATGCCATTTTATATGGATCTTGATAATCTGCGAATCTGTTTCAGGTACACTCTAAAAAAATCTGTCAAAATAGGGCACAATATACCTATTGTATAATTTTAAGGAATTTTTCCTTTTTTTAAAAAATTTTTTTTTTAATTACTTTAACGGTATTTTGAATTTTACACTTCATTGCATCGTGTTTTAGAGTTAACAGAAATGTCCGTACGATTAATGGATAATGTCATGTGTAATGAGCTGCCAGTACTTTTTCTGTTATTTTACGGATTTATTTTTTTTTACAAATTAAGCTGTTTGTATAAATGCATATGCATAGCTCTGTGCTTATATTTATGCTTATACTATAGTATGCGTATACTTGGTGCTGAATTAATATTTGGCATTTACATAATACCCCAAGTGCATCATGGCACCACCATGCCTAACCCTTGTAAGAAGTCATTGTAAACGAAACTCAAACCACTAAATTGTAATTTCACGTTTAATTTGGTGCTTTAAGAGTTTTGAGTAAAATCAAAGTGGTTCAAAATTACAACCAGCAGACAAAAGTCCATTGCTCATTTTGAATGTAACTGATTCCTAAACTAATCCTAACCCTATCAAATCATAAAATCGAGTAGAAAATATAAAAATAAAACGATGAAAATATTTTGAACTCAAATTCCAAGTAGGCCTACTTTAACGTTGTTTTGGAAATAATGTAGGCTTATAATGTAGGATACAATGAAATAAGTGTTCTGCTGCCAGTATATAATATCTATAATGTCGAATCACTTTATGATGTCTTATTTATAGGAGATGATGTGACAAAAGCGGTGAATAGTGAAACTACGTTCACTCAAGTGACTGGATCGGTTGCGCCTAGCACCACCAGCATTATATGGAAACACAGAGACAATGCTGGAACTGTTGTGAAGGTCATTGAATGGGATCTGGAGGATGGCAGCACTGACATTCCCAACGCCAAATTCAAATCCCACGCAACTCTGGACAAAAACACTGGAAATCTTAATTTAAAATATTTGCAGCTCAAACACAGCGGAATTTATACAGTGGAAATCAACAGCAAAGAGCAAAGAAAACAATTCACTCTGACTGTTATGGGTGAGTTAATGTATTGCAGTTTCATACACATTTCATATTCATTATTGCATGACAGTATTTACATACCTGTGTCAGAAATAATTGAGACATAATTTAAACGTTTTTTTTTTTTTTATTTTAATATATTGATTAATCTGTTCGTATTCATACCAATATATTTATTAGAAATGATCATGATAGACAACAGTAATAGACAAAATGTGTAGACAAATACATACAAATAATATGATTAATAATTACTTATGTTAATAATTGTTATTACTTAATATTGAATATATATTTTAAATATTTTCTAAAAAATATTTATTGATCCTTATTCATAGAGCCTGTCTGCAAACCTCATATTGTAAAAAAATGCTTATTGGAAGATGTTAGTGGATGTCTCTTGATCTGTGTGGGTGAAGCCTCTTCTGAAAGTACAGTCATTTGGAAATACTGGGATGGAGAGAAGCTTCACGAACAGTATCCTAATATGAGAACAATAACAGTGACCAACAGCGGTAACCCAGACAGCCACTACACCTGCACACTGAAAAATGCAGTGAGTGTGGAGACCAGTGATCCAGTGTATTTAAAATATCTGTTTCATGGTAAGACAGCGGCAGGAACCGCATAACATTTATTTCTCGGATAGGAAATGTTTAGCTGTGTGTGTGTTCAATACTCACTGTTGTGTGTGCACTTGGATGGGTTAAATGCAGAGCACAAATTCCGAGTATGGGTTGCCATACTTGGCCATCACATCACTCACTTTTTATAGTTTTTTCCCCTTTATCTTTATCTATCCAGATTCGAACACAGCAATTGTCATTGCAGTCATCATTTCTTTGATTATTTTGATCGCTATGGTTACTGTCATCCTTTTCCTCAAAAGACATCAAATAATTGGTAAGACCATCATTAAATTTTTTCAAACCTTTGAAACGTGTTTCTTTTATCTGTGCTTATTGTTTGCTCAAAACACAATATTTTAACCACTGTCCAAAACTTGAGGTAACTTGTCATTTACTAACCTTTACTCCCATGATGCCATATATTTCAGTGTGAAACCAGATATTCAGCAAGAACAAAAAAATATAGGTTGGGCTGGTAAATTACTAGAATACAGCCAGACTTTAATTTTGAGTTTGCTAAAACAATGCCTAAATTGTCATTAACATTATCCAGTAGCATGCTACCTGACTGACATCAGCAGAAGCGTGCGCTCATTGTATGTGTATTAAAGTAAATTGGGTCGATAATATTTACTGCAAATGACAGTCACTGTTGTTCTTTAAGGTTATCGTGCTGCTCGCCGTGGGAAACTTCAGATGCAAAGCAACAGGAGGATCTTCTGGACCCATTTGTCTGGTCATCGGCTCTAAATCCCAGCTTTACTAAAGCAACTGGAGCTCCTAACCATCTGTGCCTTCATAACTTTGACTGTTGCTTTTGGACCTCTCTGTCTCCTGGACCTCGTTGATGGTGTTGGAACTTCCTCATTTGGTTCTGAATACTATGCTACATATGCAAATAGCCTACTTAGTTTTCAGGGAGGGACAATGGTACCAAGCAGAGAGTTTTGCAGGCGTGGCTGATTGTGTAGAAATAAATACCTACTAAAAATGTCTATCATATTAAGCAAAACATAAAACACATATAGACCTGAAATGGTATACATGAAAACCAAGGCAAAAAGATTTGTGTCTTCAGGGAAACATGAACGGCAACGCATGCATATGAAAAATCTAAGCTTTAATCAATTTTACATCTCTTACATTTCTACATAACAGATTAGTTTGTATTGTGTAATTACTGTAATAGGTTGCAGTTTAAATACATGTCAGAAAATATGTAAATCAGCTATTGTTAGAGCACTCCAAATATTCACTCCAAGATTAATGTCCAAAAAGTTGAAGATCCAGCACACAGGTAGTCAGTTTGTAGTGTGCTAATGTAATGCGCAGTTCATTAAAGCAGTTTATTTAATGCCACATGAAAAAATACTATAGGTAAGGGATGATCGACCGCTTGCCGTGCATTAAAGGATTTTAAATGCACGACGTGGAGGCCAAGAACCACCGGACGTGAAGTGCATTTAAAATCCTTTAATGCACGGCTAGCCGTTGATTATCCCGCTTATTCCATGGTCATTTGCCAAGTTATAGACGAGTTAAACTAGTAGGCTATTGCTCTTTGCAGCACAATATTTGACCGTATGGGTAAAAATTATAGTTATTTTCGTCATTCTGCCCGCTTCAAATCAAACACAGAGATGAAATAGTACGGTAAGATCACATTTATTTGAATGAGTTATAGCATTTATAGCATTTCAATTAATTATCGATCGATCAAGAGAGAGAAAGAGAACGAGAGAGAGAGAGAAAGAGATGTTACCTGCGTCTGCGCGTCTCTCTACAAACAATTATTAATTACTTCAAAACAGCGACTTTACACCTCGTTGTTAAGGAATAGGCTAATGAAGCGATCTAGTATCTAGGCTATTTTATTAATGAAAATCGCGGCGAAGCATTGACAATAAGTTTATGTGTGTGCGCAGCTCTCTCTCTCTCTCTCTCTCTCTCTCTGTGTGTGTGTGTGTGTGTGTGTGTGAGAGATGTGTGTGTTGGTTAGTGTGCATCAATTAAAGCAGCGCATTAATATAGAACGGTGATTAAACTGAATTGGAACTACCTGTGCATTAAACGGTTTTAATGCATACCTGCCAGCCAATCAGAATTCAGTATTCAGACAGACCATGGAATAATAATTTATAGTAAATACTAAAGTGTTTTTGAACCATACTATAGTAAATTACTTGAATTAATTTATTGTGGTAATTCTATAGTTGCTGTGGTAATATAACAACTATAGTAATATAAACAAATTACTTTACCCAATACTGTCCTAAGTTTTCTACAACTATAGGGTATAATTAACAGTTATAATACTATAATATATACAGTATAATATACTTTACTATAGTATGCTTAAAACACTATAGAATTTCCTATACATTACTATAGTATTTTTTATGTGGGATGTAGCCTACTGCTGGTAAAAGACCAACCGCATGTTTTCCTTTCAGTTCCTGTTTTCCTCTTTATCCACATGTTTTGGACTGCGATTAGACGTGTTTGCGTCTTTGAGCAAAATAAAGAAGAACAGTGAATAAAAGTGTACTTAGCCAAACAAAAATGTCACTTCGCCGTTTGACGTTGGTCACCGTTGTTGTGTTCATCACCACCGAAGCTGCGCTTCAGGAACGCTGTTATTGTTTTATCGAAGATGAGATGGTGTCTGTTCTTGGCGATTCAAAAGCAGCTTTATAATTATAAGTCTAATTAACTATCAAGAATGTCTGATCTGGTTTCAACAAATGTACCTGTAACTGCCCCTGTTTTGTTATTGATTAAGTTAACAATATTGAATATTAATAATCAGAACAACTAGCTGGCCTCATAGCTGCTAAAAAGATGATCGCATTAAGATGGAAACCTCTTCATTCTCTTTCTGTTAAAAATTCTTACATTTTTTAGACCTGCTCGAGTAAATGGTGCTAGTGAAAGGCCCTTTGACTGAAAACCTGGTTGAGATGATCTCTTTACCTGTATTTTAAGTTGGTTTAATTGGAGTTCCAGAAAATGAGTAATTCCCTTATGTGTTTGTGTGTGGGTACCCCTTATTTTTTTTTCTTTATCTTTTTATAACTGTTTATTTTGTATTAATACATGGGTGTGTAATGTCGTGTATATTTCGCTTTGGCTGTTTGAAATGCTTTGTGATATTTTGTTGTTCTTTTCTTTTAATAAATATTTGCTCACAAAAAAATAGTCTAATTAACAAATATTAAACGATTCCTGTGTATTTTATGTAAATAGATCCACAACTGTTTTCGTTATACCCTGGTATTTGATTTATATTTCCCAATATAAAAATTCACCAACTGGAATAAACTTGATTGTTGAATGTTGACTAACTTCCATGTTTCATTCATTAGGTGAAGAAGTGAAGAAAGCAGTGGGTGAAGCTGTGTGTTTTCGTCCAAACAGAATAGATCCTCCTGTCAGCAGCATTATATGGAAACACAGAAACAGCAGTGGAGTTCTTGTCAATGCGATTGAATGGGATGTTGATGATGGTGTTTCCATCCCGAATCAGAGATTCAAAGACATCACAACTCTTGATAAGGAGTCTGGAGGAATTGCTATACATGATTTAAATGTCAAACATAGTGGACTTTATTCCATCAACATCAATAGTAAAGAGCAGGAACACAGATTCCACTTTGAAGTGTTGGGTGAGTGAATATTTGTCATTACATTTATTCAGTTCACTCCAGATACAGCTAACTTCAGATACAGGAATAACACCTTGGTAATTTGAAATATTGTGTTTACATGGTACTCCAAAGTACTTCCATGAATAACACAGTACTACCATGGTACATGTCCTAAAACCACTGTAGCATTACAGTATAAACTTTTAGGTTAGTGATAGTTTGTACCAAAGTAAAACAACAGTCGTATCTGACACCATCATTGTACCATGGCCACAACACTTTTTCCGAGGCTGTAGTTGTTTTTCATTTCATTTTATTTTCTCTGTGAACTGGATTTTCATACTTGTTTCATTGTTCCTTTCACAGAGCGGGTCCCTAAACCTGTGATAAAAACAGAGAAGAGCAGTAACCCTAAATTATGGCATAATTCAGTAATGCAATATGTTATTTACTAACCTAATTTTGACCATTTAAATGCATATTACAGGACTGGATTTTTTTCATAAGTATGACATGTTTTTTTTCTCTTCATTAGATTTGAACACAAGTCTTGTCGTTGCAATTGCCATTTCTTCATTTCTTTGATCACTGCGGTTATTATCATTCCTAATTCCATAATTCCTTTTCACGGTAAGACTGTGTTTAATCTCTTAAAGCATTTGAAGCATGTTTCCATTCTGTGCTTATCATTTACTCAAAACTCAAAACAAAAATTCTAACCATTTATGAATAACATGATCACATGAATAACTCACACTACATCTATTAATGAAGGAAACAGGCTTGGTTATGATTTCGTGTTGACTGTAAATGACTGAGTGTGTCACTGTTATTCTTGTTCTATAAGATTATTGTGCTGCTTACTGTGGAAGACCCAAGATTTACGAGAGTAAGTTTATTTAATTTCTTTATGGAAAATCACGACTGTATGTTTTATAGTGTACATAAAAATATTTTTTCCCCCTCAGAAACAACTGATACGTGAATGTTAGATGCTGCATCAGCCACACACTTCTGCTCATCATGAATCCTCTAAAGCCCAACTGGAGCTCTTATGACTTTGTTTCTCTTTGGCCTCTCTGTCTGAACAAAAATTCAAATTCATAAGGTGATTAATGTGTGTTTAGGGAAGTATGAACACTCAGGTTGTCATTTGTAATTAGATGTTTCCGCTGTGTTTGGATCTGTTTTGTTAGGAGCTGGAGCTTGAATATTCCTCAGCCTGAACTCCCTCTCATCTGAAAGATATCAAAGACAAGATGTTCATAAAATTGCCATTATTGCCAATATTTCAATAATTTAAGAACACATTCAAAATGTTCATGGGTCTTTGATGTTTAATAATAAATCTTTTTTAACAAGTGTATAAATATATATATCTAAAAGTATAAATTATATCACAATTTCCATTTGATTTCAATTAATTATGCTTGCCCATTTTCAATTTTCATGCAATTTAATGATTTATTAGCTTTCCATCAACTCAAGAACCCCCAGTTGGGAAACCCCTATAATTTCCATGTAGTGGTCTACTGATTTATTTTATTTAATTTTTTGATGGCCAGTGCCAATATCTTGGTGTAATCCTATATCCAGTATCTCCAATATATATAATATTACACTATTTAATTTAAAGATAGTAAATAACACAAGCTGCAGTGAATTTTTACATAATATTTACTAAATTATAAATAATTTGCAAATGAAACAATATGAAAAAATTATTATAATTAAACTTACTTTTGAAAGTGTGGGTTCTTAGAAAACCCGTTTTGGTGTTTGTTCTGTTAAATGCCCCAGAAAAACACATTACGTCTGTGAACAGGATGTTAAGTGGAGCTTGATTAGATCTGTTTACTAAAATCTAATGGTAACCGGTGGTAAAAGCCTGTGAATTTCCTGTTTAACTGCAGGTGAATTTTATTAAATAATTATAATAATTACTCATTCATTTTCTATATGCTTTTTATTTTTATTTTTCTATTTCTATTTATTACTTTTTTAATTTTCTCTATTTTTCTATTCACTCTTTATTTATTATTAAAAAATTGTCACAACACATATATTGTTGCTCTTTTGTTGTTTTGATTGCTCCTCATATGTAAGTCAATAAATGAATAAATGTAAATGGTAAATATAAAGGTAATTGCAACAAACAACCCATTTTTCAGAAAATTCCATTATAGGTTAATGTAGTGATCCAGTGATTTAAAATTGTATTTACCTGACTATATATTTTTATACTACTACTATAATTTAGCATTGGATAAAAGCATCTGCTAAATTAATAAATGTAAGTTTACGATTTGGCATTTAAATACGCTAATGATTGTGGTGTGAACTTTTAAAGCTTAACAAGAACAGCGACAGCTGTTACAAATGCTCATACAGTATAATTTCAGAGGTGATGAAGACATCTCTTACCTTTTTGGTGCTTCTTGCGTTGGTTAGAGAACAAAAGAACACATATCAGCAGCAGCAGAAGGGCTCCTGAACCTGCCAAAATGCTCACCATGATCCAGAAATCAAAGCCAAAGAGTTTACGAGGACCTGGGTCACCTTCACCTGTAGGACCTGTAAGACAAAAACAAATGTGATGAAATCAGTAACAAACAAGTCGATCATTAATCTATTTTAAGCTGTTAAAAATCCTAAAAACTGAAACAAACTCAATGAAGAATGAGAAGCATGTGAGAAAAAAAACTGACTTACATGATACTGTAACGCTGTCACTTTGATGATAGCTGACAGGATTGCTTACACTGCATGAGTGCGGTTTATTCTCCTGTATTTGAGCAGATGTCAAGAGCAGTTTTGGGTTGTTTTCAGTCTGGATGATATTGTCTTTATACCAGGAGACAGTCAGATCTGTACGGTCTCTAATGTCACAGGTGAGTGTAGCGTCACCATCTTTGCAGTTGATCTTCACAGTAGGTTTAGGAGCCTTTGCTCTGAAAGAAACATGGTGGTTATTTCCTACTACTGGAACAACAACAGAAATATACACTCTTATTTTGTTATTATGGTGGAAGGGTATGAATATTTGTGCTCTTACCATAAACGTTAATTTCCTTTTCTCCAGCACCAATCTGTGTACCGTCAGCATTAAAAACAGTGTATGTATATTTGCCGGTGTTCTTCAGACTAACACTTTTGAATGTTAATGTTCCATCATCTTCAATTGTTAGACCTCGAGTGTTTGATTTGTTCTTATTATTTTTCCTCACAATTACAGCGTTACTGGTGGTATGGGCCCATTTGATCTCATTAGATTTGTCAGTGTTTGTTGTTGGCAGCTTTAGGGTGCAGGACGTTCCCTCTAGTAGTTCTGTTTTACATATCTCTGCAACTATAAGAAAATTAATTTATATTAGCATTTATTTCAGATTTTTCAGGGTTGGTTTCTTTTTAAAAGCCCATTTCTGATTAGACATTAACCTTAAACAAAACTGCTGAACTCAGTTAAATATTCTATTCTGCCATTATTGACCATAAAAACGATACGGTTGATTTAAAGCAACACTATGTAGTTTTTCGACCTTAAAATAATGTCTCTAAAATTATTTCAGTGGTAGAACCAACTCTTAACTGGACAAATTCTGCTGCCGCTGCTACCTGAACAGCCTCCTATCGGCTAAAGCGGGAGAGTGCGACCTGCTTTACGGCATACCTCACATAGCCTGCGTCCCAATGTGCATACTATCCATTCTAAATTCTATGTGATATTAGTAATTTTAATACTATTTAGGGCAGATAAATTGGACAGTATGCTCATTGGGACACAGGGATATTTTACTCGTAGCTTGGGTCTCAAAACCAACGCCATGGCAGAGCCAGCAAAGAAACCAAAGAGGGTTTTGTCAGAGGAAGCGAAGAAAAGAGAGAGAGAGTGATCGGACACGAGCCCAAACACGAATCAATATCGGCTTACACTCGGTGGCGCGAGCTGAAAGAGGCAACAGGTTGTAAATTCTGTAACCTAGAGTGCTCCCAAACTAGTGAATAGTTTTCGGACACTGGCTGTAACCATGTGTACCATGTCTGTTTCGACACCCAAGATCTGCTAGAAGTACCCAGTCTACTTCACATCTGAACGGTTATTCAAATAAAGAGGCTCTGTTACTTTACAGCCTTATAAACTTACGACAATTTCAGATGTATAGGCTATTATGCACATTATGCTACATAGGAATTTTAAAAAAAGTGTAATATTACAACATATTGTTCCTGACCTGACATTTATAAAAAAAAAAAAAAAAAAAAGTTCTGAAAATACAGTACAATATTCAAGTTCAAATCTGCCTTTAAATCTGTGTTCACCTATTTATCCAGCATATAAATTCTAACTTAAGACAGTTTTGAACTAGATGTTTAAAACCAACAAATTAGTGCTTGATTGAATTAGCAAATAAGACTTTTCAGTAAAAACATACTGAGATACGGATTCTCTGTCAGACAGCTAAAAAATGTATGTTTCAAAAGGTTTTCGTGTCAATGCCCTAGAAAAAAAATTGGTTCACCAAAGAACTTTCCAGTCAAAACCATTTTCAGTCAGAACCAATTTTTCTTAGTGTGAAGAACATTTTAATAATCTAAAGAATATTTTCCCACTATGTATTTGTAGAATGAAAAGGTTAAATGTTCGGTCTCCCCTATATATTTGACTTTCTGTAAGTGTCTTCTAGTAAAGGCAGATGTGCACAAACTCTAACTGCAGCAGTTTGCATGTAATATTTGCAAAAGGGGCTGTTTTAGTTCAGTTCATTAAAATATCTACACAAAATGAAACCATAATTTACCAGTGCGCGCAGCAAAGCCACAGAGGAATAAAAATAAGAGACTGTATTGGCAGCTCATTGCTCCCCTGAAAACAGCAAATGCTCCAGAACCTTTTCACAACCAGCTCGAGGAGACAGAAATAACTTCCATTCACAGAAAAGAGAACAGAAAGTTTGCATTCAGGGAGCTGGCGGTTATGCAGAATCATCAACTAAAGATGTCAGTGATTATGCAGACCAATCAAATAAAGGCTGCAAACTCTTAGAAAAGAGAACAGAAAGTTTGCATTCAGGGAGCTGGCGGTTATGCAGAATCATCAACTAAAGATGTCAGTGATTATGCAGACCAATCAAATAAAGGCTGCAAACAGCATGCAGTGAGATTCACAGCTGACACTGTTCTCACGCCACACGTCAGTTTTGCACGCAGAGAAAAGAGCCCTCAGTTAAAACTGTAATAATATGATATTAGCAAATCAGATTTGGCAACTCTTCAGTGTGTGTTTGTGTTTATCTGGAGAGCATCGACAGTTCCTAGTTCGGGTTTTTGTACCGTTGAGCACAGTGTAGCCAATCACAGACATATCTGTTGATTTCTCAAACACCTCTGATTGCGATCCTCTCATTGAAACAATGTACACACGATATAAATGAGATTCACTGCACAGTGTAGGGAGCTTCTTGGTTATAATGGAGATCAACACGATGTTTGCGGTTTCTGTTTGTGTCTTGGGTGTGTAAAAGACATTCTGAGAAATACTGGATAAAAGTGCATTAACGTGTCCTTCGTATAACAAAAATGTCTCTACAATGCTTGCCATTGGTCGCAATCTGCATTGTGTTCATCTCCACAGAAGCTGTTTCAGGGTTTTTTTTGGGCGTTTTTTTTTGGCAATTACAGGGATCATTTATCCCTGTTTATCAATTTAAGTTATCTCTATTTATCAATCTGCACTGGCTACCAATAGCTGCATTGCCTACAAAACCACCACTGGCTCTGCACCCCTTTACCTAAATTCATTACTTCAGACGTATGTGCCTCTAGAAGCTTGCGTTCTTCAAGTGAACGTCGCTTTATTGTGCATCCCAAAGAACCACAAAATCACTTTCACAGACTTTTAAATTAACTGTTCCCTCCTGGTGGAATGACCTGCCCAACTCAATCCGAGCAGCTGAGTCCTTAGCCATCTTCTAGAATCGGCTAAAAACACATCTCTTCCATCTTTATTTGACCCTCTAACTCTAGCACTTTCTATTCTATTTTAA